ACGTGACGCTGGCCAGCCAGGAGGCCGTCTTCGTCCTGGCCCGCGCCGCGGTGAGGGGGGCCGGGGGGAAGTGCCGCGTCTGCGCCCGCCCCCTCCCCGCGCTGGCCCGCCTCAGGGGAAGGGTGTTGCTGCCTCGATTGACACCCGGCAGCAGGCGGGCGGTGCTGCGTCCCCAGGCCGCCGCACCCTTCAGCTGCTGTCACGTCCCGGCTCCGCTCTGCCCCGTCACTGAATGGGGGCCTGCACCGGCGGGGTGCAAGGTTAGGTGAGCCGCTTCTCGTGGCTGGTGGCAGCGCTCATCTCCTCCAGGCGTGGATGGGCACGGCTGGCTCTTGCTTTGAGCCGTGTCAGGCGTGCACCCTCCTCCCCCAGGCTGGACCAGGCGGGGCGCGGGGCTGGTGGTTGGTGCAGCAGGCTGTGCTGGTTGACGTGGTGGCAGACAGCGGTCCAAGAGAGGCCTGGCCTGACACTGGGTACCTTTGTGCACTAACTAATGAGGTTGTATGTCGAGAGCACCAGGAGGAACCGGAGGTGTGTGGCTGTCACATAGCTGCCAAAAGCACGTGCAGGGCTGCACCGCGCAGGCCTCACCCACAGACTCCTGCGTCCACAGGAGGCCGGAGGAGACGGGATGCCCTGGGAATTTCACCAGGGGAGGATGGGGATTGTCCAGCCCTGACTCCTGAGCCACCTCTTCTCACCTGTAGCTCTTTGTAGGAAGTGCGAGGAGCTTGCTTGTTGGGTATGTCTGTCTTGCTGTGCGTGATCCGTGGCAGGAGGCTCCCCTGTCGGACTGTGCAGGCGTTTGCTAATGGAGGGATTTTTCCTGTTGAGCTGGAGTGTGTTAGGCGCTTTGGGTCTATGTTGTTGCAGCTCTTTGAACACCAATTGCTCCTGTGGCTGCTGAACAAGTTGGCTTCTTTTTCAGAGGCTTCTTTCGCTCTTTTTTTTGGCTCTTCTTTGGCTCTCTTGAGGTTTTGAAGAGGTATAGTTCATCTGCTGGGCTGTCAGGTCAGGGAGCCTGCAATGTTCCACCTTGTTGCCCTCACTGAAAATAATCTGCAACTAGCTCTGCAATCTCCTTGTGCCTTTTCTTGGGCAGGGCTGGAACATAGATGGTTCTGCACCAGTTTAGGTTCAGGTCAACCGCAGTGGCGCTGGCTGGCTGACAGAAGTCTGAGAGTGGCTTTGCTCCCATGTCTGCTTTTCATCAGAGATGTCCCCAGCGTCAGGTTCTTGGGATTCACGTACTCGTGATGGTTGTAAGTGCTGTCCAGGAGACTAGCCTCCTTTTCTGCCTTAGACTTTATTGCAGAAAGCATTTCTCACCTGTTAACTAATATAGTGCCCTCTACTTGGGGCTCTCTTGGAAGAGCATTTGGGACCTTCAGTCAATGCAGAATGTGGGAACCCCTTTTTTTAGTTGCATACATTTTATATGAGTATTTTTTTTACCTGTGCTCTACACTGATTCCTAGCTGATTTTTTTTTCTAGTTGCAGTTCCAGGTGTTAGGATCAATTAGCTGTAAGTATCCTGGAACCTAAATGGTCTTTCTGGTAACTATTTCCTGGTAGTCTGAAAGAGAACAGGTGGGCTGCTCTTGCTCTTGGTTTCAAGCCTTGCTCTTTTAGAAGCTGGTATGTGGGCACTGGATGAGGTCTTCAACCATAGACCTTGTTCCCCTCCACGATAAGTCACAGCCTGAGTTTAGTGGCCTTCCGAGCACTGCATACGATGTATTCACTTGCTACAGTAAAGAAGCTGTCTTGGTAGTGAGAGAAGGTAATTACAAGTCATTGCAATTTGTCTGTTAAAAGTAGTATCAGCTCTCATAGCAGTGATGGGTATCCCTGACAAATGCCTTACATTGGATTGCACAGCCACGTCAGCTCATCCTGTGTCATAATTGACTTCGAGTGGAGCTGTCCTTGAACAGATTGGCCACCCCTTTGAGCTAAAGCAGGGTTGTCTGACTGGCCACACGCGGCCTGCAAGGGGTTAACATGAAGCCTGTGGGCACCCATGCAGCCACCGCCACTGCCAGCAGTCCTGCTGTTATGGTGGCCAGGGTCTGTGGGATCCCCCTTTCTCTTCTGGCTTCTGTTTCCTTTCCTCACTCCTGGGCATGGGACAGCACAGTGGGAGGAGTACTGGGGAGGAGTCTGCCATGCACCCAAGGGAGAGGGGAGCCTGGTTGTGTGCACAGCCAAGAGAGGAGCTGGGCTTCATGTGTGCCCGGGAGAGGAGTTGGGCTATTTGGGCTGTGCATGTGGTCAGGAGAGGAGCTTGGCTGTCCGCATAGTGCATGCGGTGATACCTGTGGGGGTTGCTGACTGCCTTTGTGGTGAGGGGCTCCAGGAGGACCACCCCCACAGTGTGCAGCCCGTCCTGCCTGCAGCCTGGGAGACTGTAGCCCACTGGACCTGTGGCTCCTGCTGCCCAGAAATGGGACAGCCCTGAGGGAAGGCAGGGGTCTGTAGCATTTTAGAGTGATGGGCCACTGGTTGTGACCTGGCTGTCACCATGAACTATTGCTTCTTCCTGCTGCCTTGGGCCATCTCTCCCTTTTATAGCGACACCTGCCTGCTGCTGCCTGTGCCATGGACCTCCAATCCCTGCCCCAGGGGTGGTTATAAAGCCCAAATTCAGCGATGACAGGGAGCAGTGTGCGCCACGGGGGATTGCTGCAGGGGGGGATCGACTGCTGGGTGGAGAGGGACAATGTACTGGGCCAAGCTGTGTGCTACTGATACCTTGTGGACCGTAGGTTGCTGACCTGGGCTAAAGCATTGCTTTACATCATTTCCTGGAATTAGAGTACTGCTCGTTCATGGAAGCCCAGACTGGAGCTTCCCAAAATAAATCCCAAACCAGTTTCGGGTCTTGGGGTATGAATGTCGAGCATGGGCACAGAGCTGAAGACTGACTCAGAATCAAAAAAAATATGTTGCGTGTTTACAGCTGATAGTTTGCCAGAGAATAAAAGCAAGAGTCACGCTGTCTTCCCTCGCTGCCTAATGCATGCAGGATGCCTTTGCCATGTTTATACTTTTCCCTGTTATGCAGCAATTGTCTTAATAGTGTAACGAGTTTGTCAGACAGTCTTGGAGCTGTTCAAGGAAGAGGGAGCCTCTTGATAGGGGTTACAATTTCCTCCTGAAATTCTGGCTGACTCTGTTTTCTCTGGCTGCTTATAACAAAATGGACTCACATCTTTCAGTCTTCGTGACAAACTCTTTCTTTCATCCTACAGGAATTGTTTGTTGAAACCATAGCTAAAGATGCTTATGTATATGCCCAGCAAGGAAAAAGGAAAACTCTTCAGAGAAAAGACTTGGGTAGGAAGAATATTCCTGTGCTAACCTTTGTCAGTAAAGCTGCTAGAATAAATGTTTTCCATCTGTTTCTATTTGTGAAGTGACATTTGTAGGTGCAGATTTAAAACTTTACCCTCTTGTTCCCAGAGATGAAAGGAAAACTATACAGTACAACCTTTTACTTACAGCCTCCAAAATGAGTGAATTTATGTGACTAGTTGCTGTAGAAGTTTAATGTGATCTATTTATAATACTTCTGCATCTAGTGTATTTATTCAGTTCCTAGATGAGTTTTTCCCCCCATTAACCATGGAGGCAGGTTGCCTTGCTGTCTTGGATTTGGGTAGAAGGTGGCAAGGGGGCAGGCAGCTGCTGCAGGTCTGGTGCTTACCCAGGGTCGGGTGCAGAGCTACAGCTGCTGCCTGCCCCCTGACTCCCCCACTGCCTCTGCCCCCTGTCTGCTCTCCCTGCCTTCTCCCCCCCCCCACCTCTCCCCTTTCTGCTGCTTACCCACTAGCTCTGGCATGGCACCAACCCTGCTTCAGCCTGGGGCACAAAGTGGCTGGGTTAGGGCTGGAGCAGGCAATATGCTCCGTGCCCTGGCTGGAGTGGAGCTGAAGATGAGCCAGACGCAAGGTGGCAGGCAAGGGGCAGAGGCTGCAGGGGAGGGGGAGTCAGGCACTAGGGGTTGCAGGGGTGGGGGGGACAAGTTACTGGGGGGCAGGGTATGAGAGATTTCTGCATTTTCCATGTATAGAGTCTAATTATTGTGGGGGGGGTCATCTTAAATTTAGAGTAATCTTGGATTTGGGTAAATACAGTAATTTGGTATCTTCCTGCCTACCCTACGCAGCACCATCTGCTTTAGAGAAGGTTGCTGGAATCCCTGTTCTGGGTACTTATGGAGTAAAGTATTGTCAATGATTGTTGGGGTTCTTAATATCTTTCTACCTATGTAGACTTCCTTTTTTACCTGTTCATATTGCACAGATACTGTGTGTCTGGATAATGTCAAGATGTGACTGCATGAGATTAGAGCTTTGTGTGACAGCATGTACCAAAGTTATTAAATCTGGTTGATTTAGGCCCAAATCATAGTGTTTGTTAAATGAAAAGGTTAAAAACCCCAAGCTTAATACAAATGGTTCTATGAACGGTTAAAAATTGAATGAAAAGGTATTTTGGGGAGGGGGACTTTTACCCCATTGTCAGATTGGTATGGACTTGGAGGCGTTTTTGCCTTCCTCTGAAGTGGAAGAGTGTAGCCCTCTTCCTCGGATCCAGAGATGTGGGTTTTCCAGACAATTTTGAATTGGAAAATTTGCCAATGTCCTAAATAGAGTGTGATCTGATTTAGCACGTTTATTTGACTTACATTTAGTAAACAAAACGAAAAAAGAGCCCCCATGTTAATTTTATGTTCCAAGAGCCACAAGTATTTGAACTGAAATAGCTGATAAGGAAAAAAATGAAATACAGCACACTTAATGTGGTTTAAATGTTATATTCAAACAAATCCAAAGCTTTATGAGGAAAGAAATTACTTTAATTGGAATACTTGTAAAAATGTAAAATACACAATAGCATGCACTCCCCTTACATTGTTTGTTTAAATTTAAGGAAAAAACTGAAGGCACTGAAAACTGTTGATACACTAGTTTTAGCATACCCAAAGAACTGTGCATGATATGCTGTGCTTTGATTTTGATTTGACCTGCACAGCCAATTAGGTGAATCCATAACTTGATTTTTGGTTTGGATTATGATGTGAGTGTATTTAATCTCCTGTGTACAAGTCAGTAAAACGTATGTATACTCTCTCGCACAGTTCCTAGGGATAATCAGCTGAAATACATTAATTACAACTTTGAAACTGCCAAGCTTGCCTAATATTGTACTGGCATCCATTCATTGTTACTAATGAATTTTATGAAACAATGAATTTTTAGAAATGGAAAATTTCCCACAGAAGAATAAAGCACTGGAAAATTTTCTGCCCTGCATCTCTGCTCAGATCTCTCAAGTGCATTTTAATAACACTTGGAGAAGCAGGACATTGATCACCATTGCCCCCTGCTTTACCTGTGACAAGTTAAAGTGCTGCCCCTTGTAGTTGTGCAGCAGGGTTGCTTGTGTAGTTTTAGTAATAGGTTAGACAAGGTTTTGTATGGGATGGTTTGGACAGAGACGATCCCGCTGCAAGGGGATGGACTAGATGACCTCTGGGGCTCTACTTTTCTATGATTTGCATTTTTCTATTTGTATTAAATGTTTTCCTTCATTTTGTTTTGTAGATAATGCCATTGAAGCCATTGATGAGTTTGCTTTTCTGGAAGGTGAGTTTCTGTATGCCTTGATATTATTTTTACTTTGTGCTTGTACATACATTGTCTCCATATTTAGAAAGGAAGAATCTAAAATCAGTCTTTTAAGATGTTTCTGCCATGGGCTTTCATAGCTAATGGCTCACCTGATAACGTTGCACTCAGCGTTAGAAACTGTGGTTAAGCTTTGATAAGTTACAGCATTTGCCCTTGGCAGCTTGCAAAATAGTTTCTGTTGTTTTTATATCTGTACTTTTTTCTCACCCTAATGATTTTCCCCTCTGAATTTTTAGGCACTTTGGACTGACCTGGCCAGGAAAGGAGTTATATGAAGAAAGGGACTGGGACCACCTGCTGGGAAGACACGTGGGATGAGATTTTCAAAACAGTCAATGGGAATGGGACTCATCTACTTAGTTTAAATAATGATGTCTGTGTTTTACAGACTGCTTTGAGTGTCTCAATCATAATGTTTTGTATAAAGTTTAAGTTGTTATAGTTCTTTATTTTAAATACATATTTTTCATAAATACTTTGTATGCCAGTGTACTGTGTCCTCCAGGTCACATTTCAAAGATCATCTCAAACTTGGTGTATAAGACAGCAATAGCTCAGTATAGCAATGCTGTATTTGCGTCTATTCTAAAATTCTCCATTGATAAAAAGCTTTGAGGATGGATTGAACCTGCCTCTGAGGTCTGATTATAGTTGTTATTTTTATGGAAATGTATTTCTTTTTTGTATGTTTGTCTCTTGGCCAAACAGAATTCAACATTTCTTGACTAATAAATATGCTGCCCTGAGTCTTTTCTGGGGAGGGCGGCATATATAGTTTCTTCTCTTTCTGTGCATGTGGGCTGTTTGGAGCTAATCAATAGGTCAGTGGGTTTAAGAAGTTCGAAGTAATTGAGAGAGGCCATTGTTTTGCTAATCAAGTGATAAAGACTGTTATCACTATCAGCCCCCAGCTGGCTTGCTTGCCTGTCAGTTTGCTGCAGACACT